CTCCCTCTTCCCCCCCGCTCCCAGCTTTGCATATCTTATGTACAGTACAGACTTTGGCTCTTCCATTGTATATCAGTGGTGTTGACTTACTGTAGAGTTCTTATCTGTAGCAAATAAATTTGTATTAAACATTTGACTGTATCTGTGTCCTGATAGGACAGTAGGAGTCCCTTGCTTGCCCAGCACAATGTTTTCTTTGGGGACAAAGATTGAGGAACAAATAGTTCAACCTTCCATTAGCCCTGAAACTCTGCTCTATCCCCTGCCTGTAATGTGCCACCATAGAGCTATGCTGAGAAGGGTCTGACCTTGAACACATGCTACAGCATGGGCTGGGGTTTGGCAGCTCTGTGTCACTTCTGGGGTTCTGCTGTACCTACTCTGACCTGAAACTAACACACACAAAGGACAGTAGCCACTTGTGAGGGTCTGCCATGAGGGTGAGGTCCAAAATAGGATGTGATAGTGTTGTGCACTAATATCTTGACCTTCTGTTGATAAGTCACTATACCTTATTGACCTTCAACTCTCCCTAACAGAGCCTTGGGACCCCAGGCTGTGACTATGAGCCAACAAGTAGAATAGGGGCTGAATATAATGGCTGTGTCTTGTAGTTGAGCTTGAATCTCTCAAGTTTTGCAAGGATGCGTTTCCAGCTCTCTATCCCAACTCTAGAGCAGCAAGTCTTGGGACTAACAGCCTCTTCTTAACAAAAATATAGGTGAGGAACACCCTCCCCTGGGGACTTTGAGGTAGAGCAAGGCTTGTGGATGAGATGTTCTCTGGATGGGGCCAGTAGGCAGTATTCACAGGAGGGGAGTTATGTGTGCAGTAGCTCGTTGCAGTGTTGGAAAGAACACAGCCTGCGGTGCTTACGTGAGCTTTCTTTATTAGCCTGGGCTATGATGATCTATAACAGACTTGGAAACAGGGGCTGATGGCTACTTGTTAGACAGGGTCATCACACAATGTAGGAGTGAGGCAAAAAGAGAAGGAACAGCAAGAAGCAGACAATAAATAAGAAGAAATATAAAATTCCTTGGTATTCTGGCAGGTCTGAAGGCTACCTTTCCCCCATTTATGCATAGATAAGACTTGAGCTAAATCTTCCCTGATGGAAAATGAGCCCAATTTACACTACCTTTTTGTTTGACATTGCAGGATGGAAATCTTGAAGCCAGCATGTCTCTGAGGCTGTCTGCAGGGATATAGGACAGCTGCGCAGAGAAGCTAGGTAGAGTTAAATCAGGGACAGAGCTTAGCCTGGGACAGAGGTGTTGCATGAGGGGTCCTCCAAAGGATAGGTGTCAATGTGGGTAGAGGTGTTTGAAGGAAGATGCAGGGTGTCTGAACTGTACTGTAAAGTCCTGAGACATAATGAAGTGTTTTGCAGGTCTGCAAGCCTGCACAAGGCTGGAAACCACTGGGCCTGTTTAGAGGTGGAGAGAAGGGCCAGTGTGTGTGCTCCTGCTCCCCAGCTCCCCATCCCCGACTTCTTTCCTTTTCACTCTGGGAGACCCCTACAAGTGACCTGTGTCTAGAGACAAGTGGGAGTGATAGGTAGTCATTTCTGTTGTGCTCAGCTGACAGTGCTGTTTGAGGAAGCTATCCCAGGAGCCGGTGGCAACAGCCATGCCGTCTGCTGTCACCCCCAGGCAGCTCACTCTGTTGTCATGGCCAGAAAGGATTCCTATGGGGAGAAAGAAGAGAGGTCATGGGAAGAAGTGGGGCCTAGGAGAGACGAAGGGGTTAACCGCACTGAGGACGCTCATCGTAGGCTTTATACCAAAACCCCTGCGTGTTGCACTGTCTTCCTGCACAACATGTTACAGTCAGTATGTAGCTAATAAGAACAAACACACTGAAGAACATCTGTGCATGACATGCAACCACTACCAATGGGACTGGCCAAAGAACCATGTTGTTGGGAAGGGCTGGCTAGCTGAAACCTCACACAACTGCTCCCACCCTGGAGTGATGGTAGGACTAAGAACGGATGGTGTCCTTGATAAGACAGAAATAGCAGTGCTGTTGGGTTATAAATTTTCAGAGGCTAGGGGCCACATCTGAAAGAAAAACAGCACTTGCGTGTATTCTGTGTATGAGCATCACAGAGTATATCCATAGTTGTTGGCTGGAAGCCCAGGTCCATACCCAGCTTAGTGCCTGGCCACCAAGAGGCACTGTGGGTAGCTGGAACTGGGAAACAGCAGAGGCTCGGAGAAAGTAGGAAATACTACTGGTGCTTGTGAACAGTTTTAGCTAATAGGAACCGTTATGCTCTTTTCCCACTTGGAATGATGTTATTTAAGGTCTTGGCTTCCTGAATATTAAAACCAATAGTTCTACACAAAAGACAGTTGTACTACTTATGGTGTACTCCTTAAGTGTGAGGAAGCTTTGTTGGGTTTCAGTCAGTATGGGATGCGTCCCTTTTAGGAAAAATGAGGGCCTTCTCCTTGCCTTGGCAGGGACAGAGGACCTTGCAGGGAATGAAAGAGGGACCTCCAGGAGCCACTCACCCACGCGTTCTCCTTTCAGGGAGTCCCAGATGTTGCAGTTGAAGTCATCATATCCAGCAAGCAAGAGGCGCCCACTGCGGGAGAAGGCGACCGATGTGATTCCGCAGATGATGCTCTCATGAGAGTAAACTATGAGCTCCTGGTCTGCCCGGAGGTCAAAGAGACGGCAGGTGGCATCATCTGAGCCGGTGCAGATGGCTTCACCGTTAGGGAAGAACTGAGGAGGGCACAGACCAGATTTTAATCAGGTCGTGCCTAACAGGTTTCCTCGACATCTTCGCCTCCCTGCTAACCACCAGGAATCCACAGAGGTAGGAAAACCCAGTGGGACAAGGCACTGGATCAAGTTGAGTCTGCTGGAGGGTGAGACTGATGCTTCTCCTAACAAAAAGTAGTCCCCTTCCACTTCAAGAAAGCCAATGACGTAGGGGCTAAAGCTATTGTAAGACAGCCCAGTGTTTGAGGAAGGATTATTGTCTCTTCAAGGGTTAGTTCAGGGCTTGACAGGCGTGCACCCATTATCACCCAGCTGGGGTCTGGCATGGTTCAGAGAGCCTTCCTCTGTCTGATTCTCACCCCCCAACCTTTTCACACACACTCCTTTTGTGTGCCCTGCCTTCTCTCTGAGGAGTGAAGAAGAGCTCCTCAGGAGCAAGTGTGGCAGAAAACCACATGGCTGGCAGGATGGCCATGGGACAGGTGAGAAAGGCTGTATTAATTGAAGTCAGTGGAGGGCAGTTCAAGCAGCAGACATTGCAGGAAGCTGGCAGGCTCATTTGGTTAGCAGAAAGGGATTAAACTGACAAGTTTCTTGTCCTGCCACCTCTAAGGCGCTGGTTTGAATGCTTGCCCCTGAGGGGGATACTTGCCCCCGAATGTCTGACCTGCCTTCTGTGAAGATTTCATCTTCTGTGATCCCAAGTTACCCTCTCCGCTGTCTGGAGCTGACCCATCCCCTCAGCTGAGTTAGGTATTCCTGCTGCCTCGCTTGCGTCTTGTGCCAGGGCTCGTGGAGCGTGCCTGAACCGTGGCTCCCAACAGCTGCTATGAGCAAAACTGCGCCAGCACCCATGCTAGGGTGCTGAGCTGCACGGGCCATGGTATTCTGAGCTGCATGGGCCATGGTGTGCTGGCTGAGCCCAGGCAGAGCTTTAGGAACAGCAGTCAGACCTAGATGCTTTGGTGCCCCAATGCCTGAGAAGAGCCATCCTCCAAACTTCTGTGAACTCATGCCCTCCCTGCTTTAGGCTGGGTCATGGGGCCAATGTCTCCCGAGACCCTTGTTGCCCACATGATTGTGACAGCTTCTTTCAGCCTTGTCCCAAGACCCTATTTCAGGGCTGGTCCACCCTCTGTTTTCCTTGCCTCCCCGCCACCATGCAGACAGCATACATACGCAGATGGCGTTGATATCGGACTCGTGCCCTGAGAAGGTCTGACGGCAGGTGCCCTCTCGCACGTCCCACAGTTTGGCAGTAGCATCACAGGCCCCAGAGATGAAGAGTTTGAAGTCTGGGGAGACAGCCAAGCTCATACAGTCTCCAGTGTGACCCAGGAACACTGTCTTCTGCTGACCTGTCTCAATGTCCCACAGGGCGCTGCGGGAGAGGAGAGAACTTCTCAGAGCCAGCCCAGGCAGAGCAGATCTGCAGCTGGGCTGAAGAGCTGCCCTGCTCACAAACAAAAGGAGGGAGCATGGGAAAACGGGTGAGCGTGTCGCTGGAGCCAGCTGCATGCAACAGGAGATACCTTCACAGCTGTCGCTGGTCATACCTTTGCCAAAGCAGAGCTAGACTAAGGCTGTGGGTGTGTGGGGTTTGATGGTATTCCCATAGCTGCAACAGTTGAAGGGAACACTGAGAGGAGGTAAGAGGGGCCTGCAAGAAACAGCTGAAAAGGGTCTGCTGCAGCCATGCTGGTAGGATGTGAACGGGCCGTGCTCACTGGGATCCCACACTACAGCCAGGTGAACAAGCCCCATGTAACCTTGATCTCTGCTGGGAATACCACATCCTGACTCATCCTCAGTCAAGGGGTTCTTCCAAAGCAGGTGCTGGGATGGGGTGGGGGTGAACAAAGACTCGACAGCACTCAGAGTCACAGCACAGCGAGACCCAAGAGCCAGGAACCAAAGGATCCAGGCACTGGCTTTGCAGGTGTCCCTCACACAGGGGGTAAGACTTGAGAAGTGGAGCGTGCATGTGGGCTTTGTATAAACTTATGACGTTTTGTGTCCTCGGATAAACAACACTGTGGTTTGTGAGAGCTGACGATGTGGTCCCTGCTGCTTCACCAACAGATCTGCATCTTGACCTGACCTCAACCAGGAAAAGAAGCACCTGCTCTGCCAAGGGAGGAAGACTGGATCTGCATGGCTTCCCTGTGTAGGAGCAATTTGTCCTTAGGTAGTGGACTGCTGCAGAGCAAAAGGACTGCACTTGCTGACGTGAACTGTGCCTCTGAGAGCCAGGGGTCATCTCTCTAGGATGCAGAAGGGAACACTCACCACGTGGTATCTCCAGAGCTGGTCACAATATTGTTGTCATCAAGAAATCGGCAGCAGGAGAGGTAACCTGGGAAGGGGGAACAAGGAAATATGAGAAACAGGGCAGGGCTAGCAGAGTGAGGATTGGAAGCAGAGGGCACCCAGGTTACAGGCAGGCAGTACACACACCTGTATGGGCTGAGAGCTCTCGGCTCACTTTGACGTTGCCTTCACGAGTCTTGAGGTTGTAGATGGAGCACATATTGTCAAGGCCCCCACAGGCCACAAAATTGCCTGAGGGGGCATAGGCACAGGTCATGACCCAGGAAGAACGCAAAGGGATTGCATGAACCTGGGAGGACAAGAAACCATGTTGGGACTCCGGTGGCAGAGAGAGCAGGGGAAGGACACTAGCTCTGAGAGGATCCAACATCATGGTTTGCTGCAGCCATCTGACTCCTACCTTGTTAGTTGTGTACGTGTCCCACACAATCAGTTTCCCATCTTGTGAGGCACTGACCAGAAGTCTGTGAGAGAGGAACAAGATCATGTTAGTAGCTCTCTTCCCATCAGAGCCTTCTTGCCCTTCACACCCATGTGCTGCCCTGCACCCAGCACAATAGCAGCATCTCTCTTACTTGGAGTCTGTGGACCAGTGCATGGCGTAGATCTTGGCCAGGTGCCCACGCAGGGCTTTACTGCTCCCCACAACTCTTCCTCCTAAATCTGCTTCTGAACTGGAGAGAGTCCCCCTTGGAGTGTTGCTAGCTGACACCCCCCCTGCCCCCGCTCAAGACATCCATGTGCCCAGCCAGCCTTGCCCCTTACCTGAGCAAGTGTTGTGTCTGCACAGGCTTTCCGGGCATCCTGTAGATGAGACAAGAGCAGATGAGACAGAAAAAAGCCGTGTGATGAAGGCAATGACATGTGAAATTCAGGGGCATAGCCTGGGAGCTGCTAGAGGTAAGAACTGTGGATTTGCTGTGTTCGGATTGTGGCCAGCACAGGGAGATTCTGATCCGTGACCAGGGCACCTCGGCACCAGTCAAACATCAGGAAGGTGAGCCAAAAGCTACTCAGCATCCAGTTCCCCATGCTACGCCCTTTCCATGGATCCTCCCACCTGCCAGGACAGCAGCTGCCTCCCAGACAGAAGGGGTCCTGGGGACACCCTACACTCTCTGCTCCCCTGCAGACACAGTGCCTGTGGCTGCTTCCCTCTCACCGTTGTAGAGCCCCCTCTTCTCTGCCTTCCTCTTCCCCTCTTCCCCCCACTATGCTATGAAGTTCTCCATTAGCACTTAAAGAGCTGTGCAGAACTGCAGAGGGCTCCAAGGATGTAAATGGAGAGAGCTCAACTCCAGGTTGTTGCTGCGGAGGAGAACTTGGACACGGGAGGTAGACACTCTCTCAGCAGTTTCACGACTGTTGCCAGCATTACCGCAATCTGCTTCTTCAGCTGCTCAGCCTCCTGCTTCATCTGTTCCATTTCCCCCATCTTTCTGACCTAGGGGTGGCTCCTCCACGTGGGGCAGCCTTGATTCTGGGGAGACAAATCAAAGTAAAGAGGTGTGAGGTAGAAAGGGCACTAAGATGACTGCTCAGTTACACAAATGTAGGCATCTCTGATAAGGGCTTAGCAACCATTTCTTGGCTGAATGGTTGGTAATGCGGTGCTGTATCTGGTCAAAGCATTTGGAAAGTTTGTCCAGGGCCTGGTCAAAAGTCCATTTGGTCTTGTATCCTGCTTACACATACACTGGGAAGCTGAAGACCTCCAGAACCGCTTGCTGAGGTTCTGGCTACACTTTTCCCCTCACCTCTTTATTTATAACCTCCCCATTCCATGCCCCACCAAGTGCTGGGTCATCTTCATCAGCTTCTCCCTGTCTACCGCCAAGCTGCCCATCTCAGCTCCAGGAGGAGAAAACTTGATGGGGGGAGCCCAGTGGCTATTTTCTATCATTTGTCCTAGGCAAAGCATCGCCAGTCAGTGCCCACTAGCTCTTTGACCACCAAAGAAATCCAGGGGCTGATGAGGTGCTCTCTCAGGGTTCCCTTCTAGTTTCCCATCAAAAAAAAAAAAAAACGGTGGCTACCTAGGGAATGATCCAAGAATAACATAAGCAGAGAGTGGTATTTCTTCTACTTCCATAGCCCCAGGTTTTCATTGACTTTCAAAGCTAGAGGTAGCATTACTGTTTGCAAGTTCTTGATGGATGTTTTTCTATGAGTCTTTCCACACACTTTTTGCACCCATGCTGAAATTTAGCATCCTCCATAGTGAGGCCTTCAACAGCTTAGTGGCGTGCTCTACAAAGAAGTTCCTGGTTCTGTTACTCCTGAATGGCACTATTCCACTAGCTTTTGAATTAGAAGAATCAGCAAATAACTGAGCTCTGTTCACCTCAGCATCACTTTTTTTTTTTTTTAATAATCTTTGTCCTATCTGTCTTCATCTCTTTTCCAGACTGCAGAGCACACTTAGTCATTCCTCCCATGTAAGGTGTTACATCCTATTACCTCTGTTGTTCTCTAAGCCCTTCTCAGTTGTTTACAGAGCACAGAGGATACGTTTTTGCAGAGAGGGCAATGAACCAGAACTGTAATCCATATTCAAGATACAGGTGCACCATATGATTATACAGCATCTCCATTTTGTTCTCTCTTTCTTGTTACATGCACTTAAAACTTGACCAGTGATTCTAGCATTTCCCAGTCTTGTAGGCGAATCTGGTCTTTACTGCTTCAATCTTTCTCTGGGTAGGTGTGAGTGTCCAGATGTGCTCCAGGTGTTCTTCGTCATTAGAACCAGTGCTTTGCCCAAGGCCAAGAAATGCTCCAGCAGCATCTACAGAATTTCTCCTTCTGTCCCTGTGTGTCACGTCACCTCCATCCCCCTCTGGCCTATTGCCCGAGGGCCTTGTTTCTTCCAGCTGATGGAGCTTTGGGTCCTTCCATGCCAGGCTGCTCTCTCGCTGTGGGCAAGCACATGCAAATATCTCCAGAGTCCCACCTTTGCTCACTGCTTCATAGAGCTCTTTGAGTTTCCCTCCAGAATCCCTTCCCCTGAACACCTCTGTGGCTTTCCTTTGATCTTCCAGGCAGGGTGAGTTTCTGCTTGGTCAATGACTCCCGAACCGTGGCTTGAGTGTAGGAAAACCAGGGGGATACAGGTTTCCTCCAGCTTCTGCAAGGCATGAGTTTATCCCAGAGGGAGGCTATTGCCGGCTACACTTTGCAGGGAAAGGCTTGTACTTGCTGCCTGCAAGCCTGAACAGAGCCACAGCCCTGCTGGCTCTTTCCTGCTCCCTGCCCATGCACGGGAAGTGGCTGCTGGCCCCAGCACACAGCAGGGGAGCGGGAGAGGGCCCTGAGGCTGCAGTGTCAGGGCCCAAATGCAGGTGCCACTGCAGTGTCCCGGGGCTGCCAGCCTCAGCTATGCTGGAGGACGGGGACAGACAGCATGTGAGCCGGGCTATTTCCACTGTTTTTTTCTTCTCTTGTTTTGACCAAACAGTGATGAGGGGGCTGGTTCCTCCCTGCAAGGATACATGGCTGAGTGATGCTGGCCATGAAAGCCCACCTGAATGCACTTCTCCTCCTTTGGGGGGGATGCTGGGCATCCCACGCCATCGCTCAGCTAAATGGCAGACTGGGTAGACGCTGGGGAAAGCCTTGCAGCTTTCACTAGGAGGCTGCACATCCTCCTTATCTTGTGGTGTTTGCCCCTTGGCTTTGGTGCACAGTCAAGTTGCAGAGAATCACAGAATCATTTAGGTTGGAAAAGGCCTTTAAGATCACCAAGTCCAACCATTAACCTAACCCTGCCATCCCACCACTAAACCATGTCCCTAAGCACCTCGTCTGCCCGTCTTTTAAATACCTCCAGGGATGGGGACTCGACCACTTCCCTGGACAGCCCCTTCCAGTGCCTGATAACCCCTTTGGTGAAAAACATTTTTCCTAATGTCCAACCTAAACCTGCCCTGGCACAACCTGAGGCCATTTCCCCTCATCCTCTCGCCCATTACCTGGGAGAAGTGGCTGACCCCCACCTCGCTACAAGCCTCCTGTCAGGCAGTTGTAGAGGGCGATCAGGTCTCCCCTCAGCCTCCTCTTCTCCAGACTAAACAACCCCAGTTCCCTCAGCTGCTCCTCATCAGACTTGTGCTCCAGACCCCTCACCAGCTTTGTTGCTCTCCTCTGGGCATGTAAAGACTGCATCCAGCTCTGGTTGCTGCCTCCCAGCATGCCAAGTGGCAAACCTGAACTTCCAGACACCCTTCCAGCCCTACCATTATGGTCCACACCTTCCGCTTTCTCAGTTTTCCCCAGGACTGATCCTATGTCCCCTCTATCAGTGTTGGATTGCTTTTTCCTGTGGGGCCACCTCTTCCCTCTCTGCTCTCTCCTTCCATTCTCCTCTGCTTGGTCCCCAAGACCTGGTCTCCCAACAGCAATCCCTTCCTAGAGCTTCTCCCCACTGGAACAGCACTGGCTTTCTGCTCCCTAGGCTGTCATTTCACAGACCATTGGCCATCTGAGATCATCATCCAGCCACCTGCCTTAAACCATCTTTGTGGACTTTGGCTTATGCCCAGACATGCATGAAGGTGGGTGCCTTGTTCTCTCTTCTTTCCGATTTCTGCACCAGGTGAAGCTGGCTGCACACGTCCTCCCCACCACCCATCAGGTCCCCACTCTTCCTTGCATCTCTCCTGTTTTTTTAACATCCCCTTCCCCGGGTGCTTCGTTCTCAATGCTGGCACTAGCACAGGCAAACTAGTTCACAGGCACCTGCTCTGTGAAGTTGCACAACCAGATGAGGGGCTTTCAGAGCTGGCAGGCAGATCAAAGGGCAGGGGCACAACGTCGAGGTCGGATAAAAAGGGCTAAATATAGAGAAGGTGCAGCTCAGGTTCAGGACTCTGTCCAAACCTTTAAATCCCTTTCAGAGAACACTCTAAATGAAGTTGGGAATTGTTCTCAGCCTCAGAAGGACAAGGAGCCGCAGATGAGTGATAATAATAGCTCCAGCTTCGCCTGTCACTGCCACCCATCATGTCCCAGTGCAGTTTGTGGGGAGTGAGTTACCTGCTCCCCAGCAGAGCACCGCTGCCTCCCAGGAGGCCCACAGCAGGTGAGCAAAAGAGCAGCTCATCATGGTCATGTAAATTTAGGACAGAAAATGGAGGAACAACAGGGGAAAGGGGAATAGAGTTTGGAGCCTGGCCAAGGCATCTTCCTGAAATGACCGGTGGGAACTTAGGGATGCACGTTTCTTGTAGATCTATGGATCAGCTCACAGTTGCTCATGGTAGCTGCCCAGCCTGGTCTTTATGGGAAAGGCTTCGAAAAGGTGCATGCTCAATGCTTTCTGGAAGTAAGGGCTCTTTCAAGTGGATGCTAAGCAGCAGAGGAAACCAAGTCCTTAGGTACCTTTGAAAAAAGCACCCCCACCCTCCCAGCATCACAAAGAATTACTGACAGGAGGACCTTGGCATCAGCGCTGGTCCAGAGTTGTACCTCCTACGAGCATCACTGAGGAGAACGGCACAGCCAGACAGAGCCTGGGCTTAGTCGGTTCCCACCAGCCCTCTTCTGAGCTCTGCCTCGGCTGCGCTCATCCAGTTCACAGTTGTTGGCTTTTGAAACCACCTGTCATTTCTTCTGCTCTTCAATATGATGGTTCTTTCCCCTCCTATCTTTTCTGACTAACTTGCTGGAGGCACCTGCTGTAGTGCTCCTGTCTGTGGGCAACCAGACCTTGGGCATCTGCTCGTAGCAGACCAAATGCCTCTACTGCGGTGCGAGGCTGAGGAGGGTCTGGAATCTTCCCCCTTCTACCTTTTGCTGCCACACCGTGACTTTTCAGGGCAGTGGCTATGTCCCTTGCACCATGCCATGGTGGAGGCCCAGCCTCCTGCACCCCTGGGGCTGTCCTACCGAGCCACCTGCATCCCTCCCTTGAGGGGATCGGGGTGCAAGTGATGACTGGGAAGAAAGGGGAGGTGAACTCCCTTATTTCCTATCCTCTGGGCAGTTTTCCCCACACTGGGGAGGGAGTGGTCCCTCTGCGAGATGCTGGGAGAGGGCTGTAAATAGAAAAGGGAAAGGTACAGGAGGGATGTCTGAGTATTAATAGGCAGCATCCCTGGGTCTCTGTGTAATCCCTGGCTGGCCTTGCATGCTCGCCCTGGTGACCCCAGGCTCCTTGCAGAGCCGGATACAGAGATGATCCCCATCTCCTGCGATGGAGATCAAAGGCCAGGGTAGAATTACCCTGATCTGCTCCTCATTTCTGAGGGCTCCTTCTTCATCCAGAAAAGCACCCAGCTGCAAAGAGGTGTGCACAGGGGCGCACTGGGAGTGCAGGGACTGTGTACAGGCAGCGAGTGCCAGGTCCCTCAGGGAAGGCATTACCCTCCTGTTCCAGTTTGGGAATTGGTGAGATTTACCTGCAAAGGGGACAATAAGCAACTCCATCCCAGTGCGAACCTCCTCCTCATCATAAGACATCTCAGCACTAACCCCAACTCCTTCCCCACCATGATCTTCCTTCCCACATCCTCAGATGGGATCAGCCTGTGTACAAGAACTCCCCACAGCATCACACCAAGAAACCCAGGGTCCCAAGTGCCAGGCTCACCAAGGCGACCTCAGGCATCTCAAGGCAGCATCCTTACCGGGATCCGTAGAGTGAGGTGGGTTGCAGTCCCCCGTGGATGGGACCCTCACAGCCTGCCTCCCCTGCTGTGAGAACGGCTCCCCGCTGGCCAGAAGCCCCTTGTCCCTGCGAGGTCTCCAGTCAGTCCTGTCTGTCCACCCAGCGACTCCCTTGCTCCCTCTCTGCTCCTCAGCCTCTCCCAGGACTGATCTCCCCATGGGGAGATGGAAGGCTGGGGACGGGAGGGGTTGGGGGAGGGCTGATTCCAGGAGCAGCGTCAGGCAAATTAAATCAGACACCAGAGACTTGGGGAAATCGGATTGGGACGTAATGCAAAGCAGGTGGATGGGGAGGGGTGAAAAGAGAGAGTAGCACACTGCTCCTGAAGGGAAAGAAACCATCACAGGGAGATTTGACTCTCTCTGTTTATATCAGCAACAAACTAATAAAGTGAAGATTAGCCGGAACAGGCTAGGATTATCAGCCACTGGGGCAGGGCTTGCTGCACCTCACAGTCCACAGGAATTCCCTTTTTCCTGGGGAGAATGTGCCACTTGTATCCTGGGCAGGGCAGGACAAAGGCTGGTGCCACCCATGGTGGCTCTGCCAAGGGAAAACCCATGGCAGGGCTGGGGTCACACCCTCCCTGGGCAGCAAGCTGGGCTCTGCATGGGGAAAACAGAACTGGGCACAGGGGCCAGGGGTGGCAAAAGATTTGGTGGTGTGCCTTTTGGCAGCCACTTTAGTGGGATGCTGCGAGGGGATTATCTTGGCCTCAATCTCTTTTAATCTCTCCGCGGCTTTGGCCCAAGCCCGAGATAAATACCTTTTAACGGATCTCATCTGACGTCAGGAGGCCATCAGTCTAATCACCCAAGCCACCTTTGGGCAAAACAAGCCAGAGATGTGGACACTGGCCCCTCATCCCCCAACACGTCCTCATCAAGCAGGAACCATCCAGCGCCCCCACATAAATCATCGGGATGGATGTGTGAGTACTAGGATGTGATGCACCTCCTGCCAGGGAGAGGGAATTTGAAATGCACTCATCAAATGGACTTTTTCCTGTGACCCTGGTGAGGATGGGAGGCAAAAAGGGCTGCCGACGCAAGTTTCCCAAGCTTGCATGTTAAGGAAGTGCTGGGATTCAGACTGAGGAAAGACTTCCCTTTCCATGGAGCAGGGGCCCTGGTGCCAACAGCAATAAGGGGATCACCCACCTTTTACACCACTGGCCCTGGCCCTACAGATTTCTTCCATCTGAACTGTAGCTGGGGTCTCCATGCACAGCTCAAAGCCCATGTGTGTCATGACCACAGATTGATCTCTGGCTCTAATGCTTCCCAGGAAAAGGGTCACTGCTCTTTTTGATACTCCATATCCACCCCATTCAATTCCTGTTCGGCTACAATATAATCCCATCTCGGGACACTAATCCCCTGGGCAGTGACAGCAGATTGCCTTTGTATCAGGGTGGAAAATGATAGACAAAATACCTCTTCGCTTTCAGGGGCAATTTGGTGCATGGAGCAGAAAAAAAAACAAGGAAGAGAGGCCTTGCTGCAGGGAAAATGAGCGTACAGTGCTTTTTCTCAAAGGCACTCCCTACCCTCTCCAGGGTTAGTCATGGCAGAGCTGACTTTCTCTCTTGCTCTCCCTTATCGGAAGTGGCTGGCATCTGGGCAAATACTTTGTGTTCTTTCACTGAGGGCTCAATCTCCTTCCACCATTTGTTAATTAAATTTCCATCAGCAATGAGCATGCATGTCTCCCTCCTGGTGTACAGACTGAAGCTCCCACCAACATCCATGTCCAGCATTTTGCTTTTATTCCGTATATTCAGTCCCTCACTTTCCCTCTCTCAGGCCAGTTGTGAGTTTCTGGAGTTTGCAGGTGCCTAGGAAACTCAGAGGCTTCTGTTCTGAGCTCTGAATGTGAGACAGCCCTTGCTTAAAGACCTCAGGCTCCTCCTTCCCCTCTCGAATTTGGCCCTGGATGACCAAGAAGCTGGCACTGAGAGGAGTGGGGTGAGGAGACCCTGCCTTCTTACTTCTGAGCAACTCAAACATGTTGGTGAGGCGGTGAAGAAAGTTCCTGGTGTTGCTGACCTTGATACTCTGTCCCTGCTCCCATTTTTCAGCTGCTGGGATGTCGCAGAGAGAGAAAGCTGTATCCCTCCCCATCACTACGGCTCTAGCATGCTAATACACTGCTCCAGGCCTCTGTGGTCCCGGTGCTACCAAGACCTGCCAGGCCACAGTGTGTACCAATCATACTCCTGCATACTCAGAACTCATCTCTGGCCCGCATCTCCTTGGGGTGCTGCATCCTGTCTGAGCCAGGCTTGTGTCTCCGGCTTGCAGGCCTGGCTCCACCGCTGGGAACGGGAAGCTCTGAGGAGGATCTGCCGCTGTGATCAGCCCCCTGATGTTCTTCTCCATCAGGCTGGTCCTGCTCCACAGCCCTCTGCTCCATCAGCTCCTCTGCCTTCACCCGCTCCTGCAGCCATGGAGACAGAGATGATGTGAACGCCCCTCCCTGCTAGACTCTCCATCCTGCTCGCAGGGGCTGACAAGACACACCTTGCCTTTGCCACAACCATCCAATGCCCCCCGAGCCCATTCTCTCTTGTGGGACACATCACAGGCTGGCCCCTCCACCAGGTACCTTTTTAGAGGACAACCCCCAGCTGCTGCACTAGGCCCTGCCCCATGGGAAAGCCCACAAGTCATTCCTCAGAGGGAGTTGACCTAACTTGGAGGTACTCCTACCCATTTCTCCAGCATGGTCCTTTACCTGCTCGGCATGCTCCTGGGAGTGTGTGTACCAGAGAGCGATGGCGCAGCGCCTCCCCTGGCTCACTGCCCACACGCCGTGTGGGTTCTCCTTGCCAGAGCTGAAGGCTACCAGCCTCCCACACTTAGGATGCACCTCGGCCTGCCAGGAGAGAGAGAGAGGAGACAATGAAGCCAGCAGCAGCCCCCTGCTCTGGGGTATATGGTCGCTGTAGAGAGGTAACGTTGCCTCTGGGAACGTGGAACAGCGGAGATCTTCTAGGCATCCACTGCCAGTCTATGAGCAAAGTAGTCCTTGGGGATGGACAGAGAGAATCAAAGGTACAGCCTATGTCACAGGCACCCACAGACTTCAAGAGCCCGGAACACCTCAGCTAGAAAGGAGTTAATCTCTCCTCTGTCTGAGATTTGCCTCAATTTGCCTTTAGCTGTCCCTATTTGAATCTGCCACAGCACCAGCACTGGATTGTTTTTGGAGTGGTGGGATCCAATAACCAACTAGTTTCCTCTCACCCAGACTAAGTCTCACCCTCAGTCCTCCCTCCTTCTTTTGGCCAGTCCCAGACTTACTGTGACAGTCACAGCATCCATTTCAGTGAAGAAAAGGCCCCCACCTTGGAAGTCATCATTGAGGTAGAGAATGCCGCTGTGGACAAAAAGGACATATGGATGGTGAAGCTCATTACTCCCAGGTGCTTCCCCATACCTCTTGTCACAGGAGGCACCTGAATGATACCACAGGTTCAAAAAGTGACTAGATCAGCTAAAAGAAGAATCCATTTGGGGGTGTTAAATACAGCAGTGCCTAACTCAGAGGTGTCCCCGAGCTGCAAGCCACAGAAGGCTAGGGGAGTATGCCAGGGAGTTAGCTCTACACGCTTGTCCTCTTTTGTTTTTTTTTCAATCCTCTGCAGCATACATCTGTGGCACTGTTGTGGCAATGCCCTGGGCTAGATGGACCTTGGTTCTGACCCAGCCTGATGTTATGTTTTAAGATTGGAAATAATCCAAAGCCTGGAAGAGGAGACTGATCAGCAAAGCAAGCCACGTCTTAAAGAGTCAAGGAATTTCAGGGTAACGTAAGAATGGTCAAAAAGAGGCCTAGTGAATGCAGAAAAGAAAATTAAAGAAATTTCTTTACTAATGGTAGACAAAAAGAGAAGTAGTGAGGCCACTGCACAGTGCAGGTGAGACCACAGTCAACTAGGTGAAAGAATGGACCACAAACTACTTGAGTTCCTCTTGGTATTCAAGTAAGCTGATAGGAAACGTCCGAGGAACAAGAGAAGCTCAATAGTGGGACTGGGAGAAAGAACTAGAACTCAACACTGTGGCTGCTGAAGCAAAACGTTAAGGACATAAGGACCGCAAGAGGATTTCCAACCCTGAAACCCAGGAAATTATAGCTCTTCTGCCATAGGCTTTTAATAAGACTGTGAAGTCAGGGTGGTATGATGACTGGAGAAAAGCAAGAATAACTCTCACATGCACGAAGGGGCAGGAGGGCAGGGATAATGGTTGAAGCATAAACAGGCCTGTTAGCCCGACCTCAGTCGTCTTCAGGGCTTTAGACTCCGTTTCTGAGAAGGATAATTGGACAAGAGGTAAATGAAAAACAGTCTTAAAATGTAGCATGGGGGTACTCAAAGCAGACTGGGCTAGCCACACAGTCTTAGACAAACCAGTTGATTTTCCAGGGAAAGACAACATGCTCGATCTCAGCAGTCTGGGCTCTGGTAAAACTACTCAGAACGGTGCCACTAAAGATATTACTAATGAAGAAGAGCACGTGAACAGCACACAGTGACTCGTGCACCACTGGCACTGAAAGGAGTACTGTTTGCCTGGAGGAAGATCACTGGGACTCTTGAACCCCTGGGCCCAATCCCGTCCCATAGTTTCATTAACAACCATAGCACAGATACACAGGAGAGATCCGGAAAGTTTGGAGCACAGGGACCTCTTTCAAAAGGACACCGGAAGAGCTCATCCCTTGTGAATTGGTTGGTCAATCACAATTCACTCCGCAAGAGGACAAGAATACTCCTGGAAATAGCTGAGTGGCGTAGATCACCCCGGAAGATATTTTAACATACGTTCAAGAGGAAGTCAGAGAAGCCCACTACCCAGGGAGGAGTGAGGTGACAGGACTGCTTCCTCACAGGAGGGACAGAGATCTAACCAGGTACATGACAGAGCCTGGTAACTTTACAATCTGACTATACCAAGTCAACATCCACATCAGAAGGGAAATGGACTCAGTGATACTGGAATTCCCTCTAAGTCCCATATCCTTACCGTATGCTGCTCAAAGATTTCTGCTCTAGGTACAGGTACCACTCAAAGAAAAGGCAAATGAGACTTGTGGGTGCCCAGGGATGGTATGGTAAATAGGAGGAATCAACTGCAGTGAACTGACCTCATTTGGCTGCAGCGTGCAACAATTGGCGCTATCTTTAAAATATATTTCAGGTTCTTTCACAGAAGAGTAACAAAACCTGCCACAGGCTGGAAAAACCTCTCACATGGAATGGAAAAACCCAACACAAAGTATTGGTAGTGAATCTTGAGAGACGCGAATGGAGAGAATAGTCACCAAAGTACACTGACTGCTCAAACAAAGGAAATCCAAGGAGCTTTGTTCTCCCTCTCCTGTAACGCACGGAAGACTGTGAAAGACAGGACTTGATTAGAAGAAACAGATGGTCATAAGGGCTGGCAGTGGACTGTAGTACTGTGGTAGACCCACAAGACAACAATCTGATAACATGGTTCTAGTCTGTGCAGCCTCCCAGCCTTGATCTGCTCTCCGTTAATGCTGGCTGTGAGGAGGCAGGAGGGAGAAAGGGCAGATCTCTCCAGCCTAGGGAATGGATTTCACACCTCATTCTGAAGCCACTGATGCAGCCTTCTGCTTGATGCTACAGTCCTCGCTGGCTTTGAGCCAACAACCCATCACCTGGTTTCTATAAGCTAAGCTGATCCTCTGATGGGGCTGGGAAGACATTCTGATCTTGACATGATCTAATGCAGGTCCCCTACTTCTCTTACCTGTAGTCCCTGTACACGTAGGCAGGCGGTTCCCTCCAGCACTCCTGCCCCTCGGGATCCAAGAGACAATTATCAGCATGGACAGGATGACTAAGATCCATGCGACCTTCCTGTTCCTCTGAAAAAGGAAGTTACAAAAAAGAATATGGGCATCTTCAGTTTCAGGAAAGAACAAGGCACAGAGAAAGGGGCACAGTGAGAGTAAAGGGAAGAGTCTCCTGAGGGCACATGGCTGGGACTGAGGAGACTCTCCAGGAGACAGCGACAACAGGGTGAAAGATTCTTTACCGTCTACAGCCGTGCGGCACACAAGGTGTGTGAATGAGAAATGGAGTTTCTTTCCAGGAGTAAAATAGGACTCTATGATTTTCCGTGACTTCTCACTGGCCTGCAGAAGCAATTTGGCGTCTCTCCAGTCCACGTCCCCATTCTGGACCAGCTATAAGTGAAAACCAAGCCTGTTAGAATACTTACAAAGACACTCTAAGAAATGATACGAGTACACAGTACAGAAGAGACCTGTGTAAAGTCCTCTGATCACACATGTAAGAAAATAACATGTTCTCTCATGTAAACATTAAGTCAGGAGACACCTATACAGCACAGCAATTTTTTCTTTCTACTCAGCACATGAAGCCATATCTGGAATGCAGCATCATTTTGGGTCCCCCAGTACTCAAGGGACACTAGCAAACTGGAGTGAAGGGTCTTAAGATGGCAGGGGTGTTGGAGCACACGACTTAGAAAAAGATGCTGAAAGAACTGGTTTTCTTCAGCCTAGAGAAGAGAAGGCCAAAGGAGGATTTAATTACAGTCTCCTGTCACCTAAAAGGGAGTTATAGAGAAGATGGAGACAGTCTCTTCTCAGAGTGACACACTGAAAAGACAAGAGGCAACAGGCAAAAGCTGCAGCAAGGGAAATTTTGGCTAGATATAAAGAAAAATTTCATCCTCCCGAGTGGTACAGCACTGAAACAGGTGCCCAGAGAGGCTGTCGAATCTCCAATCTTGGAGATATTCAGGCCTTGCCTGCGCAAAGCCTTGAGGAATCTCAGATGAGATGGAATTAGCTGTGCTGTGAGCAGGGGGTCAGATTAGAGATCTCCAGAGGCTCCTTCCACCTTAATTTATTCTCCAGTTCCAAGCTAACCATGTCTGCAAGACTACCACACAGGGACAAGTAGCAATCCCAAAACGCCGTCTCACAGGAGAGAAAGCACTTGTCAAGCCCTCCATGTGCAACATGCCTAAACACGATCATGGAGTAAGAGGGTCAGGGGAGACCACGCATGGGCTTGTGAGGAAGATAACACACCCATGACCCCACCCAGAGTGCACTTCACAGAGAAAAATGCTCAGGTGGCAAACACTCTTTA